TATAATAAATAATAATAATAATTGTGTTTAACGACTAGCTAGGAAGATTCCAGAAAATTTAGCAGTCTGCTTTCATTAGCCAATACTCCAGCACAACTTTTTTTTTTAACATCTTTATTGGAGTATAATTGCTTTACAATGGTGTGTTAGTTTCTGCTTTATAACAAAGTGAATCAGCTACACATATACATATATCCCCATATCTCCTCCCTCTTGCATCTCCCTCCCACCCTCCTTATCCCACCCCTCTAGGTGGTCACAAAGCACCTAGATGATCTCCCTGTGCTATGCGGCTGGTTTAATGAAACCACTTGAACAGTGATTGGTCTATGAGTGAATTGATACTGAGATTCACCCAAAGGCAGACTTTACCTCATTCTTCCTGCCCTATGACACCAACGGATCACTTTCCTTCCTTTCTCTCAAAAATGATTTACATATTTATTCAGAAATGGAAATCAATAATGGGTTTGCAAAGAAGAGACCTTGAAGATCCTCAAGCCTAGACCACTGATTTGTTTTTTTTAACAGAACCCTTTCTTCAAATGAAATCTTGCTCAGAGCCCTAATACACCTAAGACAGGCAAAAGACAAACTTCATGGTGTTAAGGAGAGAGGAGATCTACCAGTATGGCCATTTCTTTACATCTGGTGAATACACTGAGGCACCTAGGGTTTCATGAAGCACCATTTGATAACCACCAACCTATCCCACAGCCCACCCCCATCTTTTGTTATAAAGCCCTTTTGATGCCTGAGGCCCTGGGGCAGGTAGTTGCCCAGTTTAATGTAGCAAGCCTGAGACAAAGGTGATCTAGGAGAAACTGAGAGGTGATGGGGGCATTGTTTTGGTCCAAGGACACAGATACAGGATGAAACGTTTGAACTGGATTGAAATGAGGGATAATTCTGGTTTAATGTAATTACTTCTGTGTGACACTTTTGCAATTTTAGCAGACTTTTCAAATACTATTTCAAATACTATTTAATTAGCTCAATTCAGTAAGTATTGCCTGGATACAAATTATATAGTATTTGACCTAATAGAACCAATGTATTGATTATGTAAATGTGAAAATGTATAATACATTTCTTTAAGTAAACCTTTCAAGTAAGGCTTTCAACCACCCTGTGAAGGAAGCATAGTTGAAAAAAGTAAGGTACAAAAACGTTAAATAACTTGGGAATGGCCTCATAGAATGCCAACGGTAACCTGAGATTTGAATCCAAGTCTGTCTCACTCCAAAACCCATGTTCCTTCCACTCTAACCTCAAGGAACTATCAAACTGCAAGAAATGCAAAGATGGGAGATATAGGCTTAGCCCTGAATTACTTAAAATCCTCTATAGTAATTGTAACACAAGCAAAAAGCTAGCATTGACTAGATCCAACAAGAGGCCAAGAAAATTTAAAGAAAAAAGATTATATTTCAAATAAGCAACCAGGAAATACATTGTGGGCAGGAGAGCACTGAGGATTGGGTAGGCATTTGAAAGGCAGTGGAGTAGAGATGATGATCCTTATGTCACATTCAAGGAAACTGAAGCTCACAGAGCTGAGGGGCATTTCCAAGGTGTTGGAGCTGGTTAATGGTGACATCAGAGATACAGGGAAGGTCTTTTAGAAGTCAAAGAGAAACTAGAGGGAAAATGTGAAACAAAGAAATAGCAGAGTAAGCACTAAAAGAAACCAGAACTTCCATGTAGAAACAGTGAAAGAAGTAGAAACACTAAGTGACTATGGAGCCAACAGTATTTTTCTCTTTTGCTTTAGAGGAAAGTGACTGTCTACTTCCATCTAAGATCCTTCTTTCTTTTTGAATCAGCCCCATACTGCCTGTTACTTAAGATCTAGGTTATGTTAACTGTCAATCTCTTAGAAACTACACCTATGTTTCTGCCAACTTTAAGAAAAAATTCTCCTTTTTTGTATTGAATATCACATACTGAACATCACTATTACTGAGAATCTACTTCAAGTTGCTGAGTTCACCTTCTAGTGCTCACCTGGCTGTCAGGCTACCAGTCATAGTGTTAAGGTCTTTGGATATTAGGGACATGCTTATGGGTCTGTGTACATGACAATCCATATGACAGTTTGTTTACTTTTGGGAGTTGGAATAATTCATATATTTGTTCACCTCCGTTTTTGTCACTGGCTAGGAATTGTTTTTACTTTTATTCTCCCCACTTCCTTCTCCTATTTTATTTGAAGAAAAATTTTAATGTAAATCAAACATATTCAAAAGTACCATCTATGGGAGAAATCTTCTTAACTGTCAGTCAGTATTAGATCTATTAAATTTTATTTCCTTTCTACTCACTAGTTGGGCGTGTATAAACCAAGTCTCGTTTCCGACTCCAAAAAATGAAACAAAGAAAATTAATTTACCCTTTCAATTTAAAGATATTGGATTTTCAGATGCTTTTCTAATTATAGACAGATTTTCTAGATGTGCCCATCAGGGACATCATAAACTCTGATAGCCCACTTTTGTTTCCAATTCTACAAGGCAAACTTTCTCATTCCTCATTGCACCTGCTCTGCAAAGGTCATTGTATTCACTCTCATGGATTTATTTTCACCCTATGATGAAGATTTCTGTTTTTAAACTTCTAGCCCATTTCTCTCCCCAGAGTTTAAAGTTTATTCAACTGTCTGCTTCACTTTTTGTATATCCCATTGGTCCTTCAAACTTAACATGCTAAGGTGGATCTCATCATTGCTCCTTTCTTTCCAAGCTGGATCTTCCAACTGTGTTTACTGATTTAGTTAGTGGAATCATCAACCACTCAGTCCAAGAAAGCAGAAAACTTGAAGTCATCCTTGACTCTACTCTTCCTTCTTCTGTCAGTAACATAAACAATATCTGACAACCTTTTCACTAATAATTAAAATTTTCTCCATCTTTTCCATCCCCACTTCTATCATCCTATTGTCTTACCTGGACTTGTGCAACAACCTCCTAAAGAACTTTGCCCATAAACCAATAAGCTATAAATTCTTCCTCTATACAACTTCTGGATTTATCAATGTAAGACATATCCTATTTCAATCTAATGCTTCAAATCCTTTAATACTGTAAGGATGGATACACTAACCTACTTATGTGATAAAACATTATATACAAATAAATACACACACACATAGACACACACATAATAAAGTACAATAAAACTGGGAATTTCTGAAAAAGATCAGTAGATTATATCAATGTTAATATTCTGGTTCTGATATTACATGATAGTTTTGCAAGATATATGATAGTTTTGCAAGATGTTACTTCCCTTTGGGGAAAACTGGATAACTGGGACATGGATAATCTCTATATTTTTTATTACAGCTGCATGTGAATCTACAATTATTTCAAAATAGAAATTTCATTTAAAGTATCTTACAAAAAATTCTTCAATACTCACTAGGCGTATTGAAATATTTAAGCTTTTTAAAAAACATATCACATAAATTTCTACTTCCCTCTCCAGCTTTATCTCCTGGCATTCTCTGCCCCAAATTTTTACACTGTGCTAACAGTGCCATAGACTGATCATTCTGCACCATTAGTCCTTATCTGGCCTGACTGATTTCTTCTCATTATTTAGGGCTCTTTCCTTGATCCATCAGATGAGATGATATATTTCATCATTGTGCTTTTATAATATTATGCACACTTTTAATACATTTATTAGAGCTTTTTTTCCTGCTTTACCTTCTCTACCAGGACCTTCTAGAAGGTGACATAGTCTTATTCACTTTTTATCTCCAGTGCCCATTATCTTCCTGGCAAATAATAGATATTCTCTATATATCTGACTTTAGTAAATGAATGTGCATCTCCATATAGCTTAAAAATCATCAACAATAAATCCAATGCTATCATCTTCTATTATGTAACTAGACCAGATCATTCATTTGCAAATTTAAGGTGATTGACTATCCTATTACACTATTTATTTAACTCTCTATAATAATAACAGTAATGATTAAGAGCTTAGCTAATTTCATCCTGGAGTAAAATTAGTCTACTGATAATCACAATGAATCACATACTAAGATGAGATATGCACATAAAATGCAGATTTGGAGAAGGCATCTCCTGAGAAAGCTCATGTTTTCTTTCACATGTACAGGGAGCAAGGTTAATTTTTTATTTTAAGTAAAGGCAAACTTGAGGACCCTACAACAAAATGAAACAAACAGAAATATCTTTCATTTGCAATCTATTCAGATGTTTGCTTATCCCTTGGTCTGAAGTGGAATTCTATACTCCGGTTAAAAACCACCCACACACACATTAAGATATGTAACAGGTGATTAAAAAGAAAACTGGATCTAGTGGTTTGAGTTTATTTTCCCTGGGCCTGATGCTAAGATGGTAGTTATGAGGGGGGTGATTATGCTGATGGTGAAATTTTTTTTATCTTGTTTTTTTGTTATTATTCACACTTTAACATTAATATTGTTAATAGTGATAACAACACCATTATCTACACAACCCTTTTACAGTTTACAAACTAAGTTTATATACATTATATCTCTTCTGTATCTGAGGGTGAAATTTAAGTTTTCTGAACTCATTTTCATTTTCTGATTTTACTTTTTACCTGCTGGAGGCTGAATGGGCAGATAATCAGTTGAGACATTTATGAAACGGATTTAATAATAGGTCAGACATGCTGTCAGACTTAATGAGGGAATGTTTATTTTCTTTTTGAAATCGGCAGAACGTAGATGGATAGTGGAGGTGCAGAGTGTAGCAACATTATTATTTAAGAATGAAGAGCTTTGATAGAAGACTTGATTGCCTGATTTTATGGCAAAATGGGATTCTTGCCACTGCCTAAAGAAACACCGGTTGTGTAACTTGTAAAATTTGCTGTGTATCCCTGCATGATTTTGAGGATTCACTTGATTTTTTTGATTGACTATACTTTAATTTTAATATCCAGTATCATAAGTACAGAAACTATAATCCTAGTTTCATTTTTGTCCTTTTAAGGTTCGTAGAAACCCCAGCCCATTTCTCTTGGAAAGAAAGTTATTACCGATCCACTATGTCCCAGAGCACACAGACAAGTGAATTCCTCAGTCCAGAGGTTTTCCAGCACATCTGGGATTTTCTGGAACAGTAAGTATCAGATAAGCAAAAAACTGTTGAACTATTATAAACAGGTAACTGTGGATGGTCGAAGTATTGCTTACTAGGGCATGTTTCTAGAATCAATGAAAATCAGTTAATGTTGTCGGGAAAAAAATATTCCCTGCAATAGTATCTCTGTGTTCAAAATTCAGTGGAGATTTATTCAATTTCCAGCACCAAAAGATCATTATTGTTCTAAGGTGGTATAATTTTGGAGGATCAGAAGCCGCTCCTACCTAACCCCAAATAACTTCCCCAATGACTCTCTGATACTCAAATTTGTTCCTTTGGCTTAAAGACTCTCATTTACTGTTACGTTGCAAATACCCTCTGAGAAAGTAAAACACTAAATTTTGTTGGTCTGTATGCCTTGCTAGGAAAAGATCTCCTTCTTAAGATCAGGTTTGGAGATGTGAGTAAATTAAGGGAAAGATGAAACAATATCAGAGCATTGGGGACCCAAAAGTTTAGGGTATATCCCTGATACTTTCCTTCTATTCTGTGTTCCACCTAGCAGTTCTTTGATGAGGGCAAGGATCATGACTCCCATTTTAAAAATAGGGCTTAGATTTGGAATGCCAGAGATTTCACATCTGGTAATTGGTTGAGCCAGGATTCAATCCTAGGGTTTTTGATTCCAATCAACAAGCCTTGCCAACTTTAAAGCAAATAGGGCTCATTGTTACCGACTGAATGAGTGTGTTTTAGTCCCTTTCCACACTTAACACACTTTTGTTTTCCTTTATGGTAGGCCCATCTGTTCAGTTCAGCCCATTGACTTGAACTTTGTGGATGAACCATCAGAAAATGGTGCAACAAACAAGATCGAGATTAGCATGGACTGTATTCGCATGCAGGACTCAGACCTCAGTGACCCCATGTGGGTGAGTGGCATGGGCTTCCCCTTTAAATCTGTGGGCCATGCTATCCACATCTCTGTTATACCTGTCTCTTTCATGGCACATGAAAAGGCAGGTAGCTGTGAATGGGCAAGACCATCAGAAAGCTAGTCAATGTGGTTAGCAGAAAAATAATTAGGATCTGTGGGATCTGGGTGTGCCTCAACTTTTCATGATGCATACGTTTCCACTGATATGGGGAAAGGGGTTGGAGATAATTCCTTGCATTCTTTTTTTTTTTAATGTTGGTTCATTGGTTTGTTTATTTATTTATTTTTGGCTGTGTTGGGTCTTTGTTTCTGTGCCAGGGCTTTCTCCAGTTGTGGCAAGCAGGGGCCACTCTTCATCGCGGTGCGCGGACCTCTCACTATCGTGGCCTCTCTAGTTGCGGAGCACAGGCTCCAGACGCGCAGGCTCAGTAGTTGTGGCTCACGGGGCTAGTTGCTCCGCTGCACGTGGGATCTCCCCAGACCAGGGCTCAAACCCGTGCCCCCTGCATCGGCAGGCAGATTCTCAACCACTGCGCCACCAGGGAAGCCCTCCTTGCATTCTTTATCTAAATTGCTCCTCATGTCTATCCCAACTTAAAGCAGATGGTGCCAGCCCAATGTTTTACAGTGGGTGGAGAGAGTCAGAACCAAAGCCAGGATCTGAATTGTATACAAAGTACTTTCCACTATGGCAAACTGCCTGTCTCATAGAATTATCCTTCTTTAATGACGGAGGATGAGGTAAATTGTACGCAAACACACAGCTTCAAGTAATGGAGTAAGAAGAAAGAAGCTAACTAATATATAAAATAGACTCTTTTTTTGGCTTTACCACTGAGAGTCCCTCATGACCTTAGACCTCAGTATTTCCTCTATAAAGTGGCAAAATCTTACATGCATACACCTCCCAGGCAGCTAAGGAGTGTATGGGTTAAGGATAGTAAAACATTTTTCTGAGGCGTTTAGATGAAATTTCTTGTATTTGTGCAGTCCATCATGCTAACTGGTGGGTTTTCTTTTCTTTTTCTTAATCATTCATTCACCACACAAGCCCTACTGCGTTTTCTATAAAACAACAAAAATTTATAGAAAAATGGAAACGAAAGGAGCTAGAAAGAGGGTGGGGTGTCATAGAGTGTCTGCTGATGTGATAAAAGAGAGCACTTTATAAACTGCCATGACTTTCTTCTTTGGGGGGAGGGGGTGGTCACCAAATTACTTTATTTGAAAGATGGTACAGATGAAAGATGTTTTGGTGTGCCTTGCCTCTCTGGCCTGATGTAAGATTTTCCTGGAATTCTCACTATATACTCTTTAATATAGATTGTACTTTTTAATACTGGGAGAAGGGGAAGTGGGGGAAGAGGACAGGAAACAACCAAAAATAGAAATTGTAACTTTTCAAATACACTGATGTTTTGTCACCAAATTGATAAGTGAAAAATACATTTCTTCATTGGCCCCTTCCATCTTAATATGGATACTAGTCTCAATTATCCTTGAGCTAGTAGAAGGAAACTGACACATAAATCCAAGGGGCAGGAAATGCAAGGCCTTGGAATATGTGATAATTAAATATAAATATTTATAAAGATATAAATTCTGATTTGGCAGTGACTTAGAAATTAAGATATCCCCAATTCATTTAATAATATCACCTCTTAAGCTAACAGGTTTGCCTAGGCTGGTGCTACCTATCTTTTTATATTCTCTCCAGGCAGGGATTTTCTGTTTCTCATAAAAGCAAACCAAGTTATTTAGTTTAAAATGCAGAATCAAGCCTTTTTATTTACAGTTCTTCTTCTTATCTTTTCACATACTGAAACATGTGGTTTCTTAATGTTCCATGTTGATTCTTCTTTGTTTTATTAGACATTTCTCCCTGAGAACATCTCATTTTTTTTTCTCCTGTCTAGCCAATCCCTATCCATCCCTCAACACCAAGCTTGCCTTACCTTCTCTAGAAAAAGATTCCATATCACTGTTCTCTACCAGTCTAAATTAGAGACTGTTCCTCTGAAGAAACCTAGGTATATTTTTAATCATATTACTTATGACACAATATTATAGTTGTTTCTTTCTCTATCTCTAAAGGGGACATGAACCATATTTTGTCATGCCCAGTATTTGTTACCATGTTTGGCCCATAGTAGGACCTCAGGAATTGTTTAAAATTAACTAATTAATTAATTTTGGCTGCACTGGGTCTTCGTTGCAGCTTACAGGCTCTTCGTTGTGGCTCACAGGCTTTTCTAGTTGTGGCACACGGGCTCTAGAACACGCGGGCTCAGTAGTTGCAGCGCACGGGCTTAGTTGTGGTATGTGGGATCTTAGTTCCCTGACCAGGGACTGAACCCGGACCCCCGTATTGGGAACACAAAGTCTTAACCACTGGACCACCAAGGAAGTCCAGGAATTTGAAGTCATAAGAAATGAGACTAGGGAGTTATCTAAAAAGTCAAAATGTTCTCTTTAAAACAGTCCTAGTCAAAAGAATTTTTTTTTCAACAGTGGAAATGTCCTATACTCCTATTGTTCAACACAGTAGCCACTAGCCACATGGCTCATTTGGACATCTGAAATGTGGCTAGTGAAAATGAGGGACTTAACTGTAACTTTAGTTAATTTAAATTTACGTTGTTTCATGTGGCTAGTTGGTAGTTTATTGGGTAGCACAGCTCTAGAATATCACCAATCAGGGGACCATTCTCTGCTTCAACATTCACAGCAGCAAAACTTCCTGTCCTGTCCTCCTTGTGTATTCCTTCCCTTTTGATTATAGTGGGTCAGTATAAAAAGTGTTATGCTTTTTCTTTACCTCCATTGTTCCCCCAGTTCTGCTTGAAAGTACCCTGATTTGCCATTTGAGTTCTAAAACTTCAGTCATTTAAAGTTCATTTTGGTGCTTTTACAAAATAGCTAAAGGAATCTTTGGAGAAAACCTAGTGGAGTATCTGAGAAAGTGTTAGCTAAGTTATACAATGATCTTAGAAGAGGGTAAGAATGAAGGAGAGAAAGCCAAGAAAATTCATAGATATAATTGCTCTTGTGATAAGTATCTTGTTTAGCTAAGAATGCACTGCCTTGTGGTTTTTTAGGTTATTATTATTTAAGAAATATTTAAGATGATTATTCAGAGGTATTCAGAATTTTTTCCTGAGCATCAGCTATGAATATATACACTTGATGTTGATTCTTTTGGAACTGATTTTTACTTATGCTCATAAGAGCAGTGGCCTGATTGAAATTGAGGGTATTTAATTTGAAATTGATCTAAATTTTCCTCTTGGATGTCTGAATTACAAATTTTCGAAGCTACGGCTTTCTTAGGCTTCATTATTGGATGATGATGAACACGTCTGATATTTTATTTAATCTTTCCCGGAACTTTGTGAGGTAGCAATTATTATCCTTTTTTTATAAATTAAAAAAGGGGGTTAAAAATCTTTTCTAGGATGACATGTGTAGTCAGCAGCAGTGTCAGTATTTTGTCCACCTTACTGGGCACAATCTTTTCTCTTCTCAATCTTTCTCTAAGGTATTGTATTTGAGAGGAACTTGACCTCTATTTCTTCTTGAGTACCTCTTTTTCTATGAAAAACACAGAGGTTTATCTGTGTGGGTAAACCTCCATGCCTCCGTCATGAGACAGTCACCACACTTTTCCCTCCTCTGGAGAGACACAGGACACCACTGCCTACTAGGAATGATGGAACAGAGTTCTACCATCACTTACTAGCAACTTGGAACTTGAAATTGTATGTCAGATTGAGGGTAACAAGAAATCAGGAAATAAGAGCAGGATAGAAATATTTGCAAGGAGCAAGGGATTGAAGTGATTCAGGAAAAGCTGGAAAACAAAATGAAATGGGGTTTTGCCAGTAGGGGAAACAAAATTCGTCACTTGGGAACAACTGCATTGAAAGGAGTGTACAAGTGGAGTAAGACTGAACTTAAAAAATAAACTTGCCTGTCTGTGGCTGGTCTGCTTTCATCGCCATAGAACTGAGACATTGCTGTTAAAGTATAGTTCTATATGAATCCTGGGTTTTCCCTTGTCTTAGGACCATTCCAACATCCTCATAGATGTCCGTGTGAGAAGGCCACATGGGTAAGACTAGATAACAATGATAGTCCTAAGCAACAGGAATGGCAAAATAGTGGACTAGCTCAGGGTGTAATAACTGGTGTTCTGGGTTGGAAAATAAGAACTAGGAATCTCTGAGATTCCTAGTCCTTCTAAACTGAGAGCTGCTGCAACTGGTATGAGGCTCTTTTCTTCCATTACTTGGTAGCATATTTTCACTTTTCTGTGTATAGGTTAATAGCTAAATAGTTCCAAATCTCTGCACATAAATTACCTTCCTCTTGCATATAATAAAAAAAATTTGGGATCCCTGCCAAGCATTCTTTCACTATGCAAGAAATATGAATCTGTGGGCTTGAAATGACTTGTCAGATTATTAAGGACAAAAATCTTAAAATTGAGAATGTCATCCCATTTTTATTGATTTTTGAAACAACCTTCACCTTAAGAACTAGTCATGAAGTGGAGTCCTAATGTTTTGCTCTGATTATGAACAAAGGGAATATGAATTGCAAGGAATGTGTGTGCCTCCATCATTAGGATGATTTTAGTGTCACTGAAGAATAAACTACATTGGATTAGCAAATGAAGGTGAACAAGATTTCTCAAAATATGTTATAATTTAGGCTATGTTTCCAAGATCCTTACTGTTTCTTGATTCTGTTGTCTAATGTATTACTTTATATCTCAGCTTTGCCTTATTTATAAGCTGTCTGAGCATGCCTGTCATGTCCTTAAGAGGCAGATGATGATATTAACACTTAAATGTTTTCCTGGAATGATGGATGGAAACTATATAACACTTACTTTTGTATTTCTTTATTCTTTGTACTTTGCAGGAAGCCCTATTTAGTTGAATTGGGTTTTTCCCTAGGGATTTTAGTGGTAATTATCTAAAACCATCCATT